CGGGGGCCCGGTTGGCCACTGCTGGCTCTGGGCTGGCAGGCTTGGAGCTGGCACAAGCACTGTGGCCAGAATCTACCTCTTTAATGGCTCCGGGGTGGGGGAGAGGAGAGTAAGTTTTTCTTGGTTGTGCCCAGAGTGGCCACCAGGGCTCCCTGGGAAGGGCAGGAGGCCCCATATTTTGAATTAAGTGTCTACACAGCACTTAATTCAAAATAGCTATTTCAAATTTGGCATTACTCCTCGTAGAATTAAGTTTACCAAATTCGAATTGGCATGTATAAACGCTATTGAAGTTAATTCGAAATAACGGCTGTTATTTCAAATTAACTTTGCAGGGTAGACATACCCTTAGTCAATCCTGCTAAACTCTGATTCATGGTGATATTTTATGGCCCTCAGTTTTATAGGTTAATTAAAACGGGGAAAAAAATCAGCCTGGAAGTTTGATGTAGCTCCTAGGAACTGTGGATGAGTGTCTGGGCCTGCCAGGCCTCTAGACATATGAAGTTAATATCTGTCCCAAACTCTTCCTTGTAGATTTTTGCAGCTGTTTCTCTTGGCTAATAACATAGTTTAAAACAAACACTAGTTGCCTGGTGCTGGAGGAGCAGGCAACATTAACGACAAGGCCTGGCAGAGATAAAGCCTGCCCAAAAATCTGGGGTACCTCACAGCAGCCAGTCCACTGCTGGAAAAGGGTAACTCAATGGGGCATGTGCTCAGCCCATGTATATACAGAATTTTGGATTAGGGGGATGAGATTTTAGTAAAATAATTCCATGATGTCTTCATTAATATAGTAATGGAGAGGGGTAAAAGATTTGATAGCTGATGAGAGCGGGTTATGGGGCACGCAGGAGGCTGTTAGAAGTGTTAGTCCTGAAGAGGCACAAGAGGGGATGTGTCAATAGGAGGAACAGGAAGAGTTTAGTAGTAGAATTTATCACCTTTTGAAATAGGGGACCTACTTGTGACACTTTCCCCTTCCCCCAACCATCCACTGACCTTCCAGCCTCCTTCCCTGTGCAGCCAGACACAAACACGTTCTATGATCTCTCCATCTTACCAAAAGTAAAGGTGGGACCTCCCTGGTCTGTCATCTTCAGGACTTGAGTGGTCTCAAACCCCAGAGTTTGCTGGACAAGGGGAAGTCAAGGCTCCCCTCCGGCCCTGCTCCCCACCATTGGCTCTGTTGCCTTCACCCCTGCCAGGGCCATGTTCCTCACCACCAGGAGCGCCAATCTGGCTGCTCTCCCAGCCTCAGGCCCCACTGCCTCCAGCCAGGATGGGGTTCATTTCCCACTGTGCTGGCTCAGGTGGAGCTGCGCTCCCTGCCCCTGCTGGCCAGGACTGCGCTCCTATGCACCAGCCTTGCTGCTGCTGGGACTGTGCTCCCCGCTGCTGGGACTGTGCTCCCCACTGCCAGCCCATCCCCTAAACCTGGCCAGATGGGGATCTCTGGTCCAGCAATATCCCAGACCATGGATGTTGCTGGACCAGAGTCCCAGATTTCAGAGGTTTAACCTGTATTTGATTATTTCTACGTTATTCAAGACTAAGGCTAAGTCTATGGGTAACCTCCCTGTCCCTACTAATCTCCATCGCACCTTCTCCAGGTCTGCAGTAAAGGAGACCTTTACTCCAGCATTTCTCATCAATGTGATGCACTCTCCTGTTTGCTTCCTCCAGGACAATTCTGCCCATGCTTCTGGGGATCTCTAGAAAGCACAGGACATTTTTTTCTAGCAGTTAAGAAGATGAAACCTTACCTCCTCCATCATCTTGTCCCTACTAATCTCCATCGCACCTTCTCCAGGTCTGCAGTAAAGGAGACCTTTACTCCAGCATTTCTCATCAATGTGATGCACTCTCCTGTTTGCTTCCTCCAGGACAATTCTGCCCATGCTTCTGGGGATCTCTAGAAAGCACAGGACATTTTTTTCTAGCAGTTAAGAAGATGAAACCTTACCTCCTCCATCATCTGATCCCTCCAGGCTCTGCTGCCTGAGGCGGTGACTGCAACAAAGCACAATAGGAAAACCATTTCAACGACAGAAGTATTTATTCTCATGTCCCCTCTCTGCCACTGAAGTCTCAGTCCCCATCAGACGCTAACGCTAGTTTTCCCATGCTGCGGAAGACTTGGGAAGAGCAAGCATATTTTATCTATTTATCTCCTCTCTCAAAGCCTTCAGTGCGTGGCTCTCACAAAGCTTAATTCTGCAGCCACCTGGAAGGACTATTCAGAACAGAGAGTGTACCATGGATTCTGTGGACAGCAGGACCTGAGGATTCAGGATCCTGGGCAGCTGGAAAAAAAGATAAACTTTTCACCCAAATTCTTGTCTTTTTCTGTCCTCATGGAATGACAGAACAACTATGCATGCCGCCTCTAAAGGAACAAGAGTCAAATTATCAGCCCTGTCCCTCAGGACAATGGGCACTTCAAGCACTTTCAGGCAAGGTTTTACATCCCTGACGGTGAGCATGGTGAAATTCAAAATCCAGTGCCAGCAGTTACATGCCCATACTACACTCTAACTGGGAATTAGGGGCCCATATCAGAAAAAAAATCAAGTCTTTCATTAGCAAAAAAGGAGAACTTACTCTTCTACTTCTTCTGCAGTTTTCCGTCCTGATCTGTAAGACAAGAAGCCCATGCTGAGAAAGGGCCAGAGGGTGAGGCAGACACATCTTTCAACACATTGCTTTGCAGAATAAGAACAGCCTCCACACATCCCTGGGGACATAAGTCACTTCAAGCACAATACAACAAGCCTCACCTTTGAAAGGTACACACAGGTGGATGTTGGCCCCCTGCATACAAAGAAACTACAGCAAACTTGGTCGAGAGAGGCAGGTTAGCAACACACCAGTAAGAGCACTCACTGCTCTTTGAGGTTCTCCTAAATTCTTTTGTTCCCATTGCGCATCAGCTGCAGGTAAAGCTTCCTGTACTCAAAGGCCAACTCCTGAGGGATCGGAAAAAAAAAAGTCATGCTAGTTCCGGGGCTACATTCCTGAGAGACCAATATGTCCCTCCTGACCTCAGCCATAGACAAATATTGTCTGGTTGTTTTTGTAGGCCAGGGGGCCCACCCAATGCTGGGCAAGTTCAGGTCAGAAATGCTGTCGCTGCAGCAAATCAGGGCCGATCCAGCTGAGTTAACAGGAGTTCATAATAATAATGGGGAGGGGGGAGGTGTAGGCAAATGGCAACTCTCTCGCTCTCCACCCCAGCAAGCCCAGAAGTAATTCAGTTCCGATTAGGGATGCTTGTTCAATATTCAAAATGTAAAACATGGAGGTTGCTGAACCAGCACTTTGAGAAGTTAATTAAATGCCAGGTTTCTTTTTAGCAGATACTCCATCACTCGCTGATTGCTTTGACCATTTTGCAGAATGAAGTTTTAACTCTGTGCGCTGGGAATAAATATTCTCCCCTCTTCCTGGTGTCTTCCTGGCGCTGTGACAAAGGATACAGGCACTTTCTTCTCCAACACACCCTGTCCCAGGAAGCATCACAAAGCCATGGTCACTACTATTCCCTTGCGCTTCTCCCATCAAAGTAGCTCAATGAGATGGGAAAGGCTTCTCTCTTCATTCATCCAACTCTCCATTTTAACAGGTCTCAAGCCTCCTCTAGCCTTTAGTGCCTAATCTGTCCCTGGGTGGATAGGGAGCAGGGGACACAGATTCCCATCACTGAGAAGAGGAAGCCAAGAAAAGGTTGCTGTCTGGGAGAGATGGAGAGGAAGGACAGCTGCACTCACAACCACTGCTGAAGCTTTCACTCTGAGACACATAAGAGAGAACTGAAGCTAAATTGTAGACAGGCCCCAAACCAAGTCGAAACAATGTCACTGATGTGGCCAGAGTTGCAGCAATTTAGGCAAGACTAGAACTTGTTCTTTACTAACTGAAGGGCAGCCATTCAATGCAACAGAACTATAGCATTTAGGAGAGAGCTTGCTTGGTGGGGAGGCAACTGTGTACAAAGACAGGGATGGAGACGGACAATGCACCAATACCTACTACCACCACCCTGCTAACACAAGAAAAGCTAAAAATCAGCCAAGAGGGCCCATCAGCAGTTCAAACTAGAGGATCTACTTCAAATGGAAGAATCTGAGATGGCAGAGATGAATTATGTACCATTTTATCCATCTCTAGCTATTCAGGGCTGTTTCATTCCAGCCTATCCTTCATTCAGCCTATCCTCCAGGGCTTTGCCCAGTCAAGATTTAAACATTCCAAGAAAGGGGCCTTTTTATCTCTTTTTTGGGGGGGGGAGGGGGGACAATATCATAGACTCAGACAGCAAGAATATTTTGTGGATATTCAATCTATATTTTCCTTAGCTTCATCCCATTACTCCTGGTTACAGCCATTTGATGGCCTTAGGGTTTACACTCTTCAGATCCTTGTACACAACTAGTCTGACCCCTCAGTCATCATTTAGCCATTCAGCACCTACCTAGTTCATTTAACCTCTTATCACATCACCAAGTCACCACAAATCCTTCCACCTTCCAGGAGAAGCAAACAGCAGTTTGTAGTGAGGCACTTGTAGATCTAGATACATAAAGCATCAGGTACCAATAAAAAGCATCCAAGATAATGGGGTGGTTTCCAAACACCCAAACAAGGGTTTAGAGCTGCAAGAAAACTCCACGTGAGTGAAAATGTACATGACTGGACCAGCTCCTCACATAGAAGAGTGGAAAAGGAACTCAGAATGGATCAAAGGGCTTTTTTATATACAAAACGTGTCCATCACAACTGTCTCTTGCTACAACTGATGAAAGAAAGAGACCAGGCACCATTATTTATTCTTTGTACTGTGGTAGCATCCGGAAGGCTTCATTCAAAAATTATGGGCCCATCCTTCCAGATGCTATACAAACATGCAATACAAAAGTCAGCCTCTGCCTCGAAACCATTGATAATCTACTGGGACAGGGGATGTCTCTGATTGTGTATGTACAGTACTCACACAATGGACCCTCTGGGTGATACACATGCATAATAAAAGAAACAACAAAGCTGGACCTAACCCCAATACATAACCCACATTTGTCACCTCAGGAAAAGCCTGAGAGACTACAGACAGCAAAAATCACAAACTCTGCTGAAGCAGTAGGACAAGCAGGTTGCCAATTCAAGGGTCTTTATCGGAGGTCAACCTACCTCCAGACCTGTTGGCACTGGATGCTTAGCAAACACAGGGAAACCATCCCTGTTTACTTTTTAGTTCTCCAGCTGCCATTGGAAGCCCCATGTGCAATTTGCATTTGATCTTTCTGTTTTAGGCGCTGTGGAGTGCCCCATCCTGAAAACTGGCTCTGCCTCAATGCCAACTGCATCAGGCTGGGACAGACATTTCATCCTTCTTAAAAGGTAATGCTCTGGGTGCACAACATCCTCTTTATCAACCACAAGAACACAGTTTTCCATGGCTAAGGCAGAGTAGCAAGAAGCTTGGATTTAATCATCCCAACCATGCTTGGAGAGGTTTCCTATAAATTTAATCTTACATTCCCAGCAGCTCCCGACACTGAATTCTGCTCTTACCAGTTCCTCCCCCTCCAGCAACAAAAGCATGGCACAAGGAGGGCATCAAACACATACAGAATGGGTAGCTGTAGATTCACCCATTCAGATACACTCACTCAGAACAATGCAAGTGAGGCAATATTTAGACAGAACTATTTCTCATTCAGGTGTATTAAAATACCACAAATCACTAGCTCCTGTGAAACAGACCTCAGCTCAGCCAGCTATTTCTAGCTATCCAGCAAGGTAAATTTAGAAGTTACTCAATGCTGGGGCAACTGGACACCTGCATCTTCATTCTCTCCCACTCTAACATTTTGTGATCAAACCAATTTCTTTCCAGGGGCACCACAGGATGGGCTAACCTAGTAATTTGGCCAGCTCAGCTCAAACTCTTCACATAGGAGCTGCCACGACTCCCACATTCACTCAGTATCCCTGCAATATTCTCTTCAGCTCTGGCCAGTTGTCAATCCCTGGTTTTAAAGGAACTGATGGAAGAAAAAATGGCAGCAGGGCTGCATACCAGATCTCAGAACTATAACACACTCCTGCATCCATCTACCCTCTGTCCCATCCACCTGCTGTGAAAAGGGAGACAGATCTGCACCTGTTCAGTAAATGTCTTTTTGTCTCATTCTATACTACCGGTAAGAACCCCTTTGTCTCCAAAGAACTTAGATGAGGAAGTGACTCAGCCCCCACAGAAATGTGTCTGAGTTGCTACAGAGCCTCTTGCAAGCTTTGTGCTGAAGGGTGAAAGACAGTTCTAATGTAGACATCATCTCTGTTAAACTGTTTCTCTCTCATTTAATGGAATACTATGGAGATCTAAATGGAGATAAAGTGGCAGGGCTCAGAGAACAGCGAGGATGCTATCTTTATGCAGCATGACAATGTTCAGTGGTTAATTAGACACCGTTAACCTATTTTAGCAGGGGACATAACTGGGATGAATGGGGGGAAATGTCCTTGAAATCATTTAATGTCCATAGCTCATGGAGGACCCTAGTTACACTTGTTCTGCAGGACAGCATGCTCCTGAGCTACAGCTGAGCACCAGAGGTCAGCCTGCCACAGGAACACCTTTTATCCTGGGGAGGCAGGAGTGTTGCGTAGCTAGGTAAGAATAAGGGAAACAATTATGATGACCTGTCAGGTATACTAAGGCATTGTTCAGGGAAAGAATGGATCCTGAATCTGATGGCAAGGGCTGCTGGGGATGATTGGAGGCAGGTGGCCACACTGGATATTTGATGGGCAAGTGAAATTCAGATTGTTGGAGGCAGGACTCTCTGGGCCTGGGTGTGTTTGTTTGCTGTGGTCATTTTGCAAGGCTTGGGCACATACAGTATAGAAACCCCAGATGCCTCAACATTCAATAAATCTGTCCTCCCATCACTTAACAAGTGTGAAACCAGCTCTAGCAGCAGGGACGAGGAATGAGGAACTATCAATATTCCAATCTAAGAACAAACTGCCCCCTATGCTAATGTTGACCATCCACCCCGGATCTTCCAGGACACTCCCAATTTTTAATCTCCTGTCCTGATGTCCCCATGAAGCACTGAAATGTCCCGGAAAGCGCTGAGGCTCCAAACACAACTAGAAGCGGTTCTGCGCTGCTGTTTCCCCCTCCCCTTCCCTCAGCTGGGGGAACAGCAGGAGCAGGGATACTTCCTGGAAGCTTTCCCTGCTGCTCTGGAATCCAGCCAATAGGAACAGTGGGAGGCAGTGCCTGTTGGGAGCATGAAAAAGCAAGTAAATTGTGAGGGAGGAAGGTGCAGGAAACTGGTGCGTGGCTCAGCTGGGCTGGGGGTGTGTGCAGGAAACCGGTGTGAGGCTCAGCTGGGCTGGGAGGGGGGGCGCAGGGAATCGATGTGTGGCTCAGCTGGACTGGGATGGGGGCACAGAGAATAGGTGTGCAGCTCAGCTGGGCTGTGAGGGGGGGTTCAGGGAACTGATGCGTGGCTCAGCTGGCATGGGGCAGTGCACAGGTAACTGGCACGTGGTTCAGCTGGGATGTGAGGGGGGGCGCAGGGAACTGGCACACATCTCCGCTGGGCTGCAGGGGGCACAGGGAA